TTTACCTTTGATTGTGCACCAAACGTCTAGTAGCTAGTATGTCAAATTTGTTGAAGATCGGTTCAGATATAGCTATAGCTCCCATATATACTGTTTGTTTGTGATTTGTTATATTTGTTACCCACAGCCGTAATATGCACTCCGTTACAACGATATTCAGGGAAATATATCAAAAACAGCTCAGAAATATATTTGCCAAATATTATAGAGATCGGTTAAGGGTTGGATATAGCTCCCATATATCTTTATCTGATTTCAAAATAATTTTGCACCAAATGGGCAATACAAGTCCGAATTTAAAATATACAAATCCTTCGGCATATTTAGTCCTTTTAACTTTAAATTATAATTATAATCATAGCATGTATGATTGAAGTCTCCTATAAAAATTTGTAATTGTTATATGGAGCTCCAGTAAATTAGCAAAGTGGTGAAGGGTATCATAAAGTCGGCCCGCCCGACTTTACGTCTTTCTTTACTGGTTTCATCTGTAGTTCTTCATGCAAAATTAAATGGACTCGATCTTTTGAGATGCTCATGATATTAGCAATTTCACGCACTTTTATTCGTCGATCATTTAATACTATATCATGCACTTCAGCTACAATTTCTGTTGTTGTTGCTGTTTTTTGACGTCCACTACGTGGTTCATCTTCAAGGTGGCCAGGGTATTATGTCTATGTGCATTTGTTTGTAACAGGCAAAAGGAAACTAGATAGATCCATAGTTCCTTTTGGTGGTCTGCATAGAATCACATTCTTTGTCGATTTATGCATGTCCGTCCGTCTGTCCATGTATTTTTGTAAACAAAGTACAGTTCCCATTTATTGCCCGGTCCAGATGAAATTTTCCACAAATCATTTGTTTGGCCCAAGGACGAACCCTTTGTAATTCGAGGTAATCGGTCAAAATTTAGGTATAGCTCCCATATATATTTCGTCCAATTTGCCTTATATTGTACACCAAACTTGTAATATGAACCCAAATAGTATTTTGCACGTACGACCAGATTGGACTGAAATAATTATGCCAAATTTGATCGAACTCGGTTCAGATATAGATGCTATATTTATATCTGAACCGATTTCGATCCCATACATATTGTTCAACTGATTTATTATTTTTTTCCTCCGCAGCCGTAATATGCGCTCTGTAACAACGTCATATATAAACTTCCAAAATATTGTAATATCCCACATAATACATCCAGAGTTGGTTATTATTGAAACCTTGCTGAGCATAATGATGATAGTTTCCATGTGTAAATATTCCAAATCTGCCAAAGTTATATCAGAGAGCTTAAAATCTAAGATTGGACTTTTGTTCTATAAAAATATGAAATGAACATTTTTCTTTATAAAATTTTTTATTTCACTTTTTCGACTTAACTAAAGCTTTCATTTCAGATTATCATAGAACAAGAATTGATCACCTGCGTTTAGTTGTTGTAATAAAAGCCGTATGTTACTTGTCGTTCTACCTTTACTCCCTGTAACCAAGCAGAAGGCTGTTGTTTATGAAATGTGTGGAATGATTTCCCAGATGATAAACCTGAAATAGCATTTTCTGATAAGAGGATTATTTTTGCGCCACCTTGTATTATAATTAGCTTGACAAATATTCTGCCACCTTGTTTCCGTCAAAAACTTTTATTATTTTCCTATGTTTACGTTTTTTTCTACGTATGTATGATACATCGGAAAAGTATGTCATATACGTCACAATTTCTGAAGGACCATCCATGGTAATTAATAACGTTGATAATATGTTTCGTCAATTGACAGGTACATTTTATTTGCTTCGTTTAGATGTACAAAATTGACTTTGCAAACGAGTAAAATTTGGGACAATTTGGGTCGATTTTTAAAATATTGTCATTTTTGTGGCAAAAATTGGCAAATCGGTATTTTCCATTGTTAGAGTGAACAAGTAAAAAACATTAAGTTCGGCCGGAACAAACTTTTAATACATTCCACCTAAGGGTAAATGAAACATTTTTATATAAAAGTATCCGAATTCAAGCGTGTTTCACTTTAAACTTCATATACCATTTAGATCGTATGGATAATGCAGTTAAACTCATCAAAAAACCATAAAGCGAGTAATGCCGTTATATGGGGCCATACCAAAACGAGAACCTCTATAGACAATTTTAAACTTCAAGGATTGTCATATATCAAATCTTCTAAAATAACAAATTTGAAACAATTATGTGGGTAAATTTGACTAGGATTATCCAAATACCGAATATCGGTGGGTATCGTTATATGTGTGCTATAGGAAAACGTGAAACTAAATAATCAATGTTCTGCCACAGGGCTAGAACCCATTACGAACTACAAATACCAATTATACCAAAATGTGGTCATATACATTCAATGTTTCGCCACACAAGCTAGGACCCATCATGGCCAACAAATTCCAATTTTCAATTTTTTTTTCCATGAAAAAATGTGGCAAAAAATTATCAAAATACCGAGTATCGGGAGTACACTTGTATGGGGGCTATACCAAAATGTGGAACCATACATTCAATGTTACGTCACACGAACTAGAACCCATTGTACCCTACAAATAACAATTTTTAGACAAATCCATGGAAAAATGTGGCAACAGTCACAAAATACCGAATATCGGGAGGTACCGTTATATGGGGACTATACTAAAACCTGTACCGATATATCTCATTTTCAATAACAACCATCCTAGGCACAATACAAATTATTCTGCTAAATCTCTACATCAAAAAACGTCGTGATTTCAACCGATTATGAATATATATACTTTATGGGGTCTACGATGAATATTTAGGGATGTTACAAACGGAATGACAAATTTAATATATTCTCCTTTCCAAGGTGGAGGGTATAAAAAAGTAGTAAACAAAATAAATTACGTCGAATGCGGTTATCCAAAAATGGAAATGTTTCTCTATACGAAACAGAACTCGATGATGAATGTGGTGATTTGACACCAGATCTTCTGGTGGTAGAAGTATTGGGATATGCAAAATCTCTTTTCTGATGCAAATATTAGAATTTGCGAACTCTGAAATAAATTGGCTGATCATTTTTCTTACTATTAAGGTAAATAATTTCTGTGCAAATGTTGACTTTTTTGTGGAGGTACCACATAGAGTTTTATAATAATATTACGATGTACCAAGTTTAGACTAAATCCTTCGAGAGTTATTGTGCGCACCAGAGAGCCAATAACACTTGTACTTCCCTCACTAATAACATATTTTTCAAATTTATATGCGTAACTCTCCGATATTTCATTTAACTTCGCTCGACGTAATACTTGCAGCTACGTAACTCTCCGATATTTCATTTAACTTCGCTCGACGTAATACTTGCAGCTACTTCAGATATGGTGGAAATTATCGGTTCACTCCTTTCGGTAGCTCCCCCTCAGTTTTTAGTAATCATAACTCTAATAAAATGTGAAAGTCATAATTTCTCTTAAAAAACGTAAGGAATTTAATTCCAAACTCAAATCTCAACCATACTCTGAAGGGTGCATTAAATACGTAATTTTAACTCCTCCAAATAACAATTTTATATCTTACTAGCTGAACCCGGTGCGCTTCGCTACCCCTTTTGATTTTATATGCATTCAAAATTTTATTTACGAATATATGTTGGATAAAGAAAAACAAATTTAAAAATTAAAAAAAAAAATTAATTGCACTAATTTCACTAAAATCATTACAAAAGCAGTAACATGACATGCATACACGAAGGGTTTGTCCTTTGGATTTATTTATTTCATAGAAAATACCAAGCGTGCAGGAAACTGCAATTTTTTTTAAATAGAGTGGCATTTCTATTGCAATTAGTGAATTCGAGATAGCAACATACTTCGCCGTAATAAGCGTATTTCAAATAAATTGTTTTGTTGTTTTTTAGTGTTAGCCTGAGGCGTTGTGGGTCAATGGTTCTTATTAAAATCATATCCCAATCTGATCCGATTTAAATATCATTTTAAAAAATTACTTTTACACCAAATACGTCAAATATGTGAAATCGGCTGAGTATATATATGGGAGCTATAATCACATCTGAGCGTATTTGAATATAATTTGTCAAATTTATTTTTGTACCAAATTTAGCCACTCATGCCGAATTTCGTTGGAATCGGAAATTCGTATCGTGTTTTGTGCATCAAATATGTGAAATGGGCGGAAAATATATATGGGAGCTATATCCAAATCTGAACCGATTTTAATATAATTTGACTAATTTATTTTCTAATCAAAATTCCGTTACATATTCCAAATTTCGTGTATGGTGCATAAAATACATGAAATCGGTCGAAAATATATATGAGAGCTATATCCAAATCTGAACCGATTTTAATATAATTTGACAAATGTATACTTGTTTTAATTTCCGCTACACATTCCAAATTTCATTGAAATTAGAGATACATAGCGTGTTTGGTGCATCAAATACATGAAATCGGTCGAAAATATATATGGGAGCTATATCCAAATCTGAACCGATTTAAATTTAATTTGACAAATTTATTTTCGGATTAAATCCCGTCACACATTCCAAATTTCAAATGAACGAAATCGGTCGAAAATATATATGGGGGCTATATCCAAATCTGAACCGATTACAATATAATTTAGCAAACTTATTTTTGTTCCAAATTCCGTTACGTATTCCAAATTTGGAGACTGTATCTTCAACCAATCAATAGATATGTGCATATAAAATCTAAATTTTTGGGAGGTACCTCCGATTCTGATGCTATATCTCCAGTTCCAAGTGGAAATTCAAAAATGTATATAGCCTATGTTACTTTCAGGCGATGTTTTCAGGAAAATCTATTCAGCGGTTTTCGAGTCCATAAATTACAAACAAACATACAAACATTTTCCTCTATTATAGATATAGATTTATTATTTGGAATAGGCGACAAAAGAAATGATCTATACTTACATAAATACACACCTATATACTACATTAGGAAAATTGAAACACATTGAAAAATTATGCGTTTTTTTATTTTTATGAAATTATTATTTTTTTACAATATATATAATATAATATTAAATTATTAAAATTCATTTAATCATTTACTGGAATACCAAGTTTTGGCAGACTTCGCGACAGATGAATTTTTATAATTTCCAAATTAGCTTCTATCCACTGAATATTAAAATTGATGGTATCCATTGCTGTGGGCAGGAGAGTAACCATCTTTTTACACTGGATTTTCATGGCATCGATGACATCGTTTAACTGTCGTTGTTCTTCTCGGCTGTAGATTCGTGCCACCAATGCTGTGACCAATCGACCTACATCATACACTTTGCATAGTTCTTCAAAATTCTCAATAAAATATTTTCGAGCCAAGTGTGAACCAATTTCACTTTCTGCTACCGCCTTAAAGGCATGCATTCTAGAATGATTTGTCATTTGATTTTCTGGATCAAAAATTAAACTCAAATATTCGTTGATCATATCTTCACTTATAGAACAGGCAAGAGCCTCAAGCAGAGCATGATCTTGAGATTGTTTGAAACGTTGCCATAAAAATAACCAATCATCCTTAAATCCATGGCGGATGGAGGTACAGTAAATTGTCTCTCTCAAATTTGGTGGCATAATATTTATTTCGTTGCCATCGTCTGGGGTTTGGGATGATTTCCATTGTTTGAAATACGAAATGGCCGATTGAATACAATCGTCTAAATGTACACGACAAGCCCATTGTATTGCGCGATATTTTAGTCGGCTTTGAAAAGGTCTAGGGATATCAAAGGAATCAGAATTGTTTAGGCCACCCAAGTGATGATAAACTGGAGCAATTATATAACGCATAAATTTCCGGAATAGATGATAATGCTGTGGAAATGGTTCCATCATAGAAGTAATATCGGGTAGACTGCGAAACACCAAACTCCAGGGTAAATATTCACGTTCCTGGTGCAAATACTCCATAATATCCAATGCAATATCGTATTGTTGGTAACCACACCATGCCAGAGCTAATGCATCATTTATTATTTGACCACGATTAAGGATGTGAATTTCCTGAAATTTTTTACTCTTTAGTGCTTCTCCAATCAATTGCCAGCTAATGGGGTCATACATAATCCGATAGATTCCAGAAAATTGAACATTAAGTATTATCCATTCATGGGGTTCTGTTACATTACACAATTCCAGAGGTAGAACATTTTCCGTTTCATCACATTCTAGCCAAACTCTTGGGTCGGTTGCATTGAAATTTATTTCCGAAGATGTTGTGAAGCTTAGCGGAACCCACCAGCATTTCTTTCCATCTTCATTCAGCGCAGTCGAACTTTCAAGAAATCTTTGTTGCGTTATTTCCAAACATCCCGTATCCATGTTGCGTTTTACTTTTATCAATGGAAATCCGGTTTGTGTAGTCCAAGTATCCATAATTGTGTTCATATCGTAACTGAAATCTAGACGCTTATGTCTATGACCCACTTCATTGAATACTGACCATAAATCTCTTTGGTCGGCATTGCGAAATTTGTATTTTGTCAAATAATCCCGCACAGCTTCAAAGAATGGTTCATGGCCCATCAACATATGCACCATCCTTAAAATTGAAGAACCTTTCCTGTAGGATATGCTGTCGAAATGATTACGGATTGCAGTAACATTCAAAATTTCAGCCGACAATGGGTGACTATCCAGTTTGGCGTCTCTTTCAAAGGTCGAAACTAAGCTAAGTAAAGGGTCAATCTGATGAGCTTCAAATTCTGGGTGTAAATGCTGCACACCCCAAATGGCAATGTATGTGGCAAACCCTTCGTTCAACCACAAGTCATTCCACCATTTCATAGTTACCAAGTCTCCAAACCATTGATGTGCCACTTCGTGTGATATAAGTCTGGCCGTGTCGTATTTGTTCCAGCCAATTGTAGAGTTTGGATTATAAAGTAAGGCGGTATGACGATATGTGACGAGACCCCAGTTTTCCATACCGCCTTTATAGAAATCGGGAATTGCTATTTGATCCAATTTTTTGAGTGGAAAAGGTCCCAGCAAACTTTCGTAGAAATTCAAAACTTTAGCCACCATTTCTGCAGCATAACTTGCTTCCTCAATGCAATTTGATCTGGTCCAAGTTCTCATTAAAACATTCGTTGTTTCTGATTTCGATTCTTTGTAATCAAAATCGTTTATAGTATAAGCCACCAAATAAGTGGACATTGGAGGTGACTCCTCGAATATACTCCACACAAAATCTGGAATATTTTCCATTGGCACTTGTTTTTCCAGCGGCATATTGCTTAGAGCTTTCAAGGCCTTATGGTGACCCAGCCAAATAGTAAAATTAGCCTTATAATTTGGTTCATCCAGACATGGAAATGCAGATCGGGCATGGGCAGGTTCAAATTTTGTAACCGATAACCACTTTGTTTCATTTGTATCTACATTCTGATAAGAACTACGATAGTATCCAAATAATGTATCGCTCAAATTTCCAGAAAAATCCAATCGTAGTTCATAGTTAATACCCTTTAGAAGCGTTTGGCATAGCATTAGAATGAAAAAATCATTTTCTTCAACTTTCTTCACATCTTTTAGACAAATTTGAAAACCGTCGATATTAGAAGATTTTAATTGTATACTAGTTTCATTGATATTCAAATTGTTGGCATGTAATGTTATGTTATCGGTATCCGCTGAAACTTTGAATACTATCTCAACTTGACCCTCGAATGTAAAATTTTTTGGATTTTCCAAATGGGTGATTATTTTGAGATGATAACGTTCAGGGTTTATTGTTGAGGGTAAACGGAAGTTCTTATTGCGCACAACATCCACACCATGCGAACAGGAAACTATGGCCACAAGGATAATGAATGTATGTAAAATGTTAGCAGCCATCCTGGGATTTTAAGCTAAAAACAGTAGCAAAGAAAATACCATTATTAATAAATAACTAACTAACTAATAACTAAAACGTTTGAACGACTAAACAAAGGTTATAATCGGTCGAGGACGACTCAACACCAAAATAATTGGATATTATGTGTTTTACAACAGAATAGAATTTCTACATACATATCGAAGGAGTCATAGTGGATAAATACAAGGTGACGCAAAAGTAGTCCTCCTATCAGCAAATTCTATAAATTTAACGATTCTATAAATTTAACGAAATTTAACAATTACAGTCAAAAAAAAAACATCGGAATGTCTGTCAAGTACATATGTATACATATTTTCGTAATATGCACTCCAGAACAGTGATATTTGGTACCAGATATCAGATACAGCTCAGGAAAACCTCTGCCAAATTTTATCGATATGAATTCAGATTTGGATATAGCTTCCATATATATCTTCATACGATTTATTGTGCACCAAATGATTAATATCAGTCCCAATCAGATGGATTTTGGCACATTTAACCGAATTTATCTGGGAAACAAATAAGACATTTGGTGAAACTCGGTTCTCATATAAATACTGCTTCGATATATTTTATACCCTCCACCATAGTACCCTCCACCGTTTGTAACACCTCGAAATATACATACATTTTAGACATGGCTAAATCGGAATAGAATTTAACTCAGATTATGAATATATATACTTTGTTGGGTCTAAAATGAATACTTCGATAAAGTAGAAATTCAAACAAACTCAATAAGCTGGTCAGATGCAACATGTTTATTCGAGTTGCTCATACGAAACGAAAAAGTTGTGAGCAAACACGAATTGATCGATGCTCTGTGTTTGCAATCAAACAGCTCACTTGAGCGATTTGTTTACGAACTAATGCTGAATTGTTCAAAACGGGACGATCGTCTCGGAGGAGTATGATCGGTTTGATTCTCATTTTCGTTTACCAGACAGTGTGTAGTTTCCACTTGCAACAGTTTTACAGCTTGCTTCAATTTCAAATATTATAAAAGTAAAAAAAAACTGCACCGACTTAATTAAATGGTTGAATAAACAATGATGCCGAGCAAACTCAATTGAAAGAAACAGAAAACAGTTGTGATTGCTCACTTCAATTCACGTGTACGATCAACTCATATTCTTGAAAAAAAAAACTAGCATGTTTGATCATAAGTGAAGTGATGCAGACTGAATGTTCGATACAATCCGGTGCGAACGATCCTTTCGTTCAGATCAAACCAAACGACGGCATCAACAAAAATCACGCATGACATCGAGTGTGATTGAATTATTCATACTTGTTGTAACCTTCTGATTACCTTCTTATTATGGAGCAGGGTATAAAAAGATCATAGTTGGTATGATCTACTTCACATTAATTATACCCTACACCACAAGTTGGCCAGGGTATTATGTCTTTGTGCATTTGTTTGTAACAGGCAAAAGGAAACGAGATAGACCCATAGTTCCTTTTGATGATCTGCATAGAATCACATTCTGAGTCGATTTATGCATGTTCGTCCGTCCGTCCGTGCGTAAGTCCATCCGTCTGTCCATGTATTTTTGTAAACAAAGTACAGTTCGCATTTATTTCCCTATCCAGATGAAATTTTGCACAAATGATTTGTTTGGCCCAAGGACGACCCCTATAAATTGGAGATGATCGGTAAAAATTTAGATATAGCTCCCATATATATATTTTTCCGATTTGCCTTTTATTGTGCACCATCAGTCCGAATAGTATGGAATTTTGCACGTACGATCAGATTGGACCTGAAGATAAGTATGCCAAATTTGATCTAAATCGGTTCAGATATAGCTATAGCTCCCATATATATTGTTTACCCGATTTGTTATTTTTGTCCTCCGGTAATATGCATTCTGTAACAACAATATTTGGGGAAATATATCAAATACAGCTCAGAAATATATTTGCTAAATTTTATCGAGATCGGTTCAGATTTGGATATAGCTCCCATATATAACTTCGTTCGATTTAAATTTGATTGTGCACGTCTAACGTCTAATATTTGCCCAAATTGGATGAAATTTGGCACTTACGACCGAATTGAGTCTAGAAACTAGTATGTCAAATTTGGTGAAGATCGGTTTAGATATAGCTATAGCTCCCATATATACTGTTCATTCGATTTGTTATATTTGTTCCCACAGCCGTAATATGCACTTCGTAACAACGATATTCAGGGAAATATATCAAATACAGCTCTAAAATATCTTTGCCAAATTTTATCGAGATCAGTTCCTATTTGTATATAGCTCCCATATATGTTTTTATCCGATTTCAAATTAATTGTGCACCAAATGGACAATACAAGTCCGAATTTAAAAGATACAAAAGCTTCGGCATATTTAGTCTTTTGAACTTTAAATTATAATTATAATCATAGCGTGTATGATTAAATTCTCCCATAAAAACTTTTAATTGTTATGCGCAGCTCTACTAAATTAGCAAAGTGGTGTAGGGTATCATAAAGTCGGCCCCGCCCGACTTTAAGACTTTCTTTACTGGTTTATTTGTTATGGGTAGCTTTGCTAAATACGGGCATGGGTGGAGATTATATAAAGTCATTTATTTTAATTTATAGATTTTTCTTTAAAGATAAATATTACTAGAGCAATGCATTTAAAAATGATTTTGAACGGATAGGTGTAATATCTCCTTGAACTTTGAAACATCTAATACGCTAAAGTTTGTAATTAAACAAAAATTATATCTGACGAGACATTCAATAACAAGTCACATGTTAACAAACATAGAGAATCTTGGTGACAATAGTAGAAATTTGTCATAACCCCCTGGAAGGGTACCCTCGAATTTTAGGTATTTTAAGGGGTTTTACAACACGTTTTTAACTTTCCTAGACGGATAATTTTGGGGTTTTGGCTCTCTATTGGCTGAAAGCTATCTTGTAAAAACGCTGTCAATTTTAGAGTTTTATAATACACAGAAGATGTAAGAAGTTTTCTTCTTTTGTTTAAAGCACATTTCTAGTCTTCACCTTAATTCACACTCTTGATTGAATCTAAATACTGCCCCGATCGTTATCGATCTTTGTTTTGTAAAAATGCACATCAAAAATACTGCGATTACGACATTCCAGCTCTGTCTTTTGTCATATCAGTGAACATCCGAACGTTAGTCATTCAACCATCAACAAGATCACCAACGCAATATAATTAACACAATTGAAGGAAAAAATTAAATTAATATAACCGACAACTTGATTCGTTTCTTGAGAATGCTACGTGAAGACTAATTCTGAAATGCAAATGAAAGCCCCAATTCAGGCACCATCTGCAAAAGATGCTCAATTTTGAATACAGACGTTGAAATCTCAAAAAAAAAAAAATAAATAAATAAATAAATTAAGATGAATGTCTGTCTCACAGGTGAATTGAATGACATTTAATTTTAAATTTTTGTTAGGATTTCGCACAAATCGCTACTTAATATAAACATGTATATACATTAAGAATTTCCCAGCAAGCAAAAAATATCCCGCAAATAACCTAGAAGCCACATTTAAGCGAAAGAAATCATCGCGTTTGATATCGCTTTCTCACCCCGGGAGGAGCATCCTTCGGGAAGAAAGGATCCACGCCCGCGATACTTTTAAGTATGGCTAAATAGCGCATACAGCGTTACTTCTAATAATCGTGGAAGTTACTTCCTCGACAGTTATTGGAAATGAAATATATATATATATATATACATATATTTCATTTCCAATAACTGTCGAGGAAGTAACTTCCACGATTATTAGAAGTAACGCTGTATGCGCTTTTTAGCCATACTTAAAAGTATCGCGGGCGTGGATCATTTCTTCCCGAAGGATGCTCCTCCCGGGGTGAGAAAGCGATATCAAACGCGATGATATATATATATATATATATATATATATATATATATATATATATATATATATATATATATATATATATATATATATATATTTCTCAGATAGAAAAAAGTCTTATTTATGTCCAATTAAAAACTAACTGCAATCTATCGCAGTTTTATCCGATGGAAGTCAAGAATTATTAAAAATATAATTACATTTTTATTTAAAAAAAAAACATTTATGTAATAAAAATTTAATACTTATAAATAAATCAGTATTGTGTATGTTTCATGAACACATAGTATGTTGTTTTATTTCTTCTTTAATTTCCACTTATACAACCAGTGATTCTCATATCGAATTTTATATAATTTAGCAAAGTCGGATAGGATGTTCAATCAGATTATACCAAAAAATCACACATCTAATATATATTTTTTGCGAATCATAAAAATCCGACTCCGGTACACTACGATTTATTAGTCCTCCGACTGCGGTACACAACGATTTTTTAGTGCTCCGACTGCGGTACACTAGGATTATCGTTGTGTTCCGGTACAGTACACTATCATCGTGTATGGTTTATTTTCGAACGCTGGTGAAAACACATACACTGATTTGTCCGTGTATGTATTGTTTTGAAAATGTTTATGTCGTCCAGAACATAGTTTATATAGACAATTTTTTTAAACATTTTTAAATTCTTTTGCTACAGCTTCTTTTGTCGAGCCTCCATATAATGTAACCGTGCACTTTATGGTGTCTTGAAAATTTATAGAGTATATGGATGAAAGAAAACTTACTTATATTAGAAACTCTATATTGTGATTGATCCGTATTATTCCATTCATTTTTCTCGACTTTCTCTTAATTCAAAATATTCAGAAAAGTGTCAAATAAACAAAGCAGTTTGTTGCATTTGTTGATAAATTTGGGTTGCACTTTTCATATTTAATCAATCCGCCCTACCTTGTTATTATTGTATCATGACGTGATCTAAGTATTATCTCTTACGATGTGTTTGTGTTGATGTTTAAACTGTATCTCCCATCGCTCAACATGTGATTTTGGTGTTGGAAAAATTGTCCCTTTGTGAAGGAGATACCAGAAGAGATTGATCCAATCATTCGATTTTCACATTTTCTCTAATATAAGTCAATATATAAAAATATAGACTAATCGACGATAAATATTGTATAGAGTTCAATTTAAAACAGGGGATTTTGAATATTGGTTTTATTGCTAATGTTTTTAATCATTGCTGGAAAAGGGTACGAAAAAACTGCAATGATTGACGCTACATGCTTCCTATAATAAGAGCACATTGCCTTCGACGAACGTGTTTTCAATTTTAAACTTCCATTTTATTATCGATGATTTATTCATTATTATTATTCATCGTAATTTTAATATAAATTGATTTCTTTGAACACTCTCTGCAAGCATTTGGAAATGAGTAACTCACTTCCATTTTAAGATGCCTAAAAAAATGTGAGAAAGCGATATCAAACGCGATGATATCTATCGCTTAGGCGTGACTTCTAAGTGATTTGGGGAATATTTTTTGCTTGCTGGGCTGTAGTAAATATTTTGGCATTTAAGAATGAAGTGTGAGTACCTTTGAAGGTATGAGTACCTTCGCCTCAAATTGCCTTTACTTAGTCTAATTTTGGCATACTCTTTCTAATATTTTCAGACTGTATCTCACGATTGAATGATTCAATGATGACTTCCAATGCACCAATTAATATGGGCTCGTCTATATAAACATGAGCATTTAAATAGCCCTACAAAAAAATAATAAAAAATAATCAAAAGACGTTAAATCGTAAAATAGTGGATAGTGTTTTTGTTTTTTGCCCAATTGGTACGATAATAAGCAGAATTGACGTTTTTAGAGTGAAGATCAGTCAAGACCATTGCAAAGTTACCAGTGAATCCAAAATATCATAATATGTTGCGGTTTATGGGTTGGTTGCATCGTTGGGGCAGATGGATATTAGACTTCTTTAAAGATGCTGCGAATCGTAATAAAAATAATGAATAATTTACCCCCCACTATGTTATGGAGGACATATTCAGTTTGTCATTTCATTTGTAACTACTCGAAATATATATTTTAGACCCCACAAAGTATATATATTCTTGATCAGCATAATATTCGATGTCTTTCAATGATGACCGTCCGACTGTCTATCTGTCTGTCTGTGGAAATCACTGTAGCTTCCGAACGAATTGAAATAGGTTGATAAAATTTAACTGAGATGTGTGTTTGTTCCGAAGAACTTTTGGTGTTAAAAATGGGTTAACGTGCACCTACGTTTTGGTATAGCCCCCATATAACGGAACCTTCCTACATTCGGTATTTTGATGATTTTAGCAACATTATTCACCGGAATTGTTTCAAATTTCGTACTTGAAGTTCCTAATGGATACTGCAAGCTATAACAGAAATCTGACTATGCATGTCCACATTTTCGTATAGCCCCCAAATAACGCTATCTCCCCATATTCAAATTTCGTATTTGAAGTTCGTAACGGGTACTACAGGCTATGACAGGAAATTTTCTATGCAGGTCCATGTGTTTGTATAGCCCCCATATAACGGTACCTCTCTATAATGGATATTTTGATGACTTCAGCGACATTATTCACCGGAATAGAATAATATTTAAAGTTCTTAATGGGTACTTCAAGCTATAACAGAAATTTGACTATACGCTACATTTCTAAACCTGTTTTTTTTTTTTTTATTTTGGCTGCACTATTCATCGGCATTGTTTCAAATTTCGTATTTGAAGTTCGTAATGGGTACTACAGCCTGTGACAGAAAACTGCGAGTGCAGGTCTACGTCTTCGTATAGCCTCCATACAACGATACATCCCTATATTAGGTATTTTGATGATTTAAGCTACATTATTCAACGAAATTTTTTCAAATTTCGTATTTTCATTTCTTAACGGGAACTACAGCCTATAACTAAAAATTTTCTATGCAGGTCCAGGTCTTCGTATAGACTCCCTATATTCGGTATTTTTAAGATTTTAACAAATCCAAATTCGTTCGTATTCAAAGTTCGGCTCTGCCGAATCACCCATTTTCTTTTCAATAAAACACATTTTAATATATTTTTTAAAATAACACATTTCTCATTTTTATTTTTAGTTTTCTTTAATTTTCTTATATTTCATTTTATTTGCAACTTTATTTTGTTTTATTAAAACTCAGCAATGTGTTTTTCAATTTTAATTTACGGTTTTTATTTTGCAACCATTATCGTTTTATTTGTTGTGGATTTTTATTGTAATTTTTTTATTATTAATAAAATATTTAACATATCATTTTTATTTTTCATACATATAGACGAATTAAGATTCGCTGCTGTGTATGTTTATATGTGTGTCTGTTAATTGATTTGTTTTCTTAATTTGAAACTATTTTAAATCTATGGGCCATATTTCTGTGATTTAACTATAAATATATGCTGTTATTATAATTATTGTATTCAATTATTTTTCTTTAGAATTTTCAATTTTTTTCTTTTGGTTTGTTTGGAATTTTATTTATTTATTTATCTTTTTTTTTTTTTGCGAAAATCTCACACAAACATTTTTCTTAAACAACTGTTGCATGTGTGTTTGTTGGCAAATGATACGAAATATTAATAAACTATGTTTTGTGTTTATAAATCGTTCTGCAATGTATATTATCTTAATAATTATTTAAGTTATTATCTGTTTCTTCTTTTGTTTTATATCACTTAATAACACTTAATATAAACGGCAAATGCTAAAAGATTTCAGTTTTATAGGTTGACTTTTTTATAAGGACAATTTCAAACGATTGTATGGGGTAATGTTTTTAAATTTATATTGTTGAATGCAATAAATTCTTTATATTTTAGCTATTTAAAATTTATTAATTCCGAGATTGCATTTTGAATACAAATTTTGAGGCTTTTGTACAGTTTTAGTATTTATAAAGTAAGTTGATCTTTATTGCAGGTTTCATTAGCGGAGATTCACACACACAGTTCATGTAATCATTCATATCGACGGTTGTCAAGACATTAAGCTTGCAATTGAAGTTATGGCTAAATATCTCGAAAATTTATAAAAATTCAATAATAATATGTTGATATTTAGAACAAAAAATGTTAATGTAAAATATTAAAAATTTTTAACAATATTTCAAAAAGCTTGGTACCTTCAAACTTTGCCAACACGATTATGACGGTTAAAAATGAAACATTTTCAATATAAAATTAGCACCCAGTAAAGTAAGATCAGAAGTCGGGCAGGACCGACTTTATGATATTTTCATATTACAATTATAATTATAATTATAATTAAAAGTTCAATAGACTAAATATGCCGAAGCTTTTGTATCTTTTAAATTCGGAATTGTATTGCCCATTTGATATATATGGGAGCTATATCCAAATCTGAACCGACCTTGATAAAATTTGGCAAAGATATTTCTGAGCTGTATTTCACATATTTAATTATAATTATAATTATAATAGACTAAATATGCCGAAGCTTTTGTATCTTTTAAATTCGGAATTGTATTGCCCATTTGATATATATGGGAGCTATATCCAAATCTGAACCGACCTTGATAAAATTTGGCAAAGATATTTCTGAGCTGTATTTCACATATTTCCCTGA